TCGATTTCAAGCTCTGTGATTACGTTCTCACTATGTCTGGAAGTGCTTCTTCACTTTAACCGCCCCGAGAACGAGGCGCTGCAAACATGTTTATATAGACTCATTGTATTGCACCCCTACACGGAAATCTTTAGTAAGGGGCGAAAGATTTATCCTAGGCGGATTATGATTCATCATGCTTCTCATTATGCTTCTAACTGCATGCGCGCACTATGTTACCTGTATCTGATTCATTTTAGAGGTACTATCCTAGGCTGCATACTACAGTACCCAGATGTTACCTGAAGGCATAACCATCCGTGTGCTGTCGCAGTATTTGTAAGGGCATGACCTTTCGACATCTACATAAGACCCTACAGGTCAGTAGTCCTTTCTGCTGGAGATACTGCACTAGGTAGGACAACTGGACTATTTCCAGGATCCGCGAATAATCTGCTGGCCTATCCACTTGCGGTGCTGCTTTCCTTCGCCTTCTAAGAGACTGGGCTCTGCAAGCAGAACAAAGTGTAACTTCATATACAGAGTGCTAATTCCTCTTTACATTGTAAAGTACACCATTTACGTATAGCAAACAACTACTGCCATTGTTTTAATCCTAGATGTGCCCACAGTGACAATACACTATTATTTGCAGATTTTCTCTTTCGCCCAAACATATTTTTTGCATTAAAATCTTACCTCCTTGCGTTATACCGTCCTGTGTGCCGCTGCTTGACTCTCGTGTTCTCATGTCCATTCTGTCGGTTAGAGTACTATCGCACATACTGCGGAATGACCTTAAGATACACTGCCTTCTTCCTATTGATTGTTCGCATTCACTTGCTATTCTTTCCAATCCGGGGCAAGGATGCATTCATTCCATATACCGTATTAATTATCCATGCTTATTTCTATACCCTCCTTGCATTTTTCACCTTATTTAAATTTGGCTTCCACTTTCCCAGGAACGCCATTTACTACGATACACTTCAAGCGTTATTTAAGCCTCCACTTATCTGCCCACCCACATAGCCCCTATTACCACCGGTCCCGTAAGACAGGTAGCTGGGAGTTTTCGGTACCGGGAGGGCTACCAACTACCATCTAACCGAAAAAGTTTTTTTCATTTGATGTGCAGCGGGATGCATTGGCCGTACAACTAGACCTCCGGAAAAGAGGGTACGCAAGCACATACCCGCCTGGCTATGTAAGGGGAAATATCGGTCGTGTTCAAGTTTGATTATCGCACATCTAACCGATAACAGCTATCAAGTCAACACCAAAGAAGCCGTTCAAGTTATATACCGAGCACCAGCGCACTACCCTAAAGGCCTATGCAAACGGGTACTAACAACAGTCAAGGCAGTAGCTACTCGGTTAACGGATCCAGCGCTCTGTTGTCAGATGACGTTGATACGTGCAGTCTGGTTCCCCTGTCCGATTCCACCCAACATCTTGAGAAAACTCAGACGTACTGCGCGCGTTTGAGGTACAGACAACGCTCAAACCTGCCTCGAGCCCCTCCCCTTACTCCCCCCCCCTCCCCCAGCTCCAACGCCCCCAACATGTTGGCTCCGTTAGGCAGAAGGCGCGGGAACGAGGAGTGTGACTAATCCTTCCCACCGAGGCATCCAAACCCTGCTAATAGCTCACAAGCTCATTCTCCTGATAAGGAATTGCCGAAAACAGATTTACTGACTTATCTGGTCAAACCTGGTGGAAAGACTACACGATTACCGATACAAGCGAAGATGCGAGTTCCATGAACCAGTTGATCAGAAGAAGAAGAAGCGATCGCTGGAAAAATGTCTTTATTCGCCTGACGTTTCGGATTCTCACCTGAATCATCCATCATCTCTGATGATGGATTCAAGTGAGAATCCGAAACGTCAGGCGAATAAAGATCTTGCTCCAGCGATCGCTTCTTCTTCTGATCAGACTACAGGATCCTGAAGGCACAGTTGGATGGGGGGGGGAGGGGAGGCACAACTGTTCGCATATGGAGCGACATAACACCAACCACACTTTTTCTGCCACATCCAAGTGCGGGCATAGGAAGGCAGGAACACTACACTCGGAGTAACTGAGGCTTGGAAATCGAGTTAAACCTCGCTAAACAAATGCGCCCAACTCCCACCCGAACACCGAACGCTACGTGGTGAAACTGAAGACCACAACCCAGGTAAAAGATTGATGATTGCCATAAAGGTCAATGCAGCTGGCTACAATGGCAGGAGACAGTGCTGATTGGTTAATCTGCAAGTGAAATTCTCTTGTCTGACATTTCGCCTATCTGACGATGAATTAGAGAGTTGATCTGCGATCGATGGCAAATAAATTTATGCTCCCATATGCGTGCACTTTTTCCTCAAAGAAGCAAGTGTTTTAAGCAGCTAGTCAGTGAAATGGGAGCCAAATATTTATTGATTATCGAAGCACACGTGGAACGCCTGTGCAAAATTTAAAGGAGATGGTATTCGGACTTGAATCAAGTAAAGAATGCGGCAAGACTCTATTTTTATACGCAGGCGGTATATGCAATTAATTAAATCCTTCTCACTATCAAATTGTAGAGAATAGAGCAATCTGCGCTCGTTATTTATGCCTTATTTATCACCGCCATGCAATAATTAATCATTAGAGTTAAAATATCTGTTATCTGATTTGGGATCCGTGTGGCCGGAAAGCGGTTCACTTAGGTCGGTAATGTCTACTTTATAGTTTAGCTTGTTTTTTGTCGCCGATAATTCTAGAAACTTAAACGTGTGCTCTTATGGAACCACCTGCGAAGACCCCAAATTTGGGGCCTCATCGCACAATGACAATACCAGTTTTCACACTAAAATCACTTTCACCGATGTGACTTCCAATATTCGTGATAATGGCCTGCATAACACTTCCCCGTGGAAGGAATGGCAGTGAAGGACTTGAAAACCGCTTGCCAACTAATTGATGCGGTCTTACCCATCAGTTGACTGCGGTTGCCTGCTGGCGATAGAAACTTCAGGAATTGTAATTCCTGTCGGTCTTACTTTTCTATGTTAACATTTGCGATTATTATATGTTAAGCATCATATAACCGTCTGCAAAAATTTTGGACCCCGATCTCCAAAAAAACGAGCATGTTAACTTACATACATAAAACAGTAGGCGTCGTGAAGAAAATTCATATTAAACCAGCGGTTGTCTGAGTACTAAAATACTTCTTGTCAATGTACAGTAGTTCGAATTTTTTCACGAATTCAGAGATACTTATGTTTGCAGATATATTATTCGGAGCAAAACACAGCGGACAGAACGTTTTGCAGACAAAAGTCAGTGTTTCTTTGGGACGAATTAGTGTTGGTCCCTAGACTAATTCTCAGATTACCGGCAACAGCGGTCAGTTGTTTTTATGAGAGTGAAGGAGAATAAGGCGGGAGGTAGAAGAATGTAACGTGACTGCACGTGTCCTTTTCACTGGCAGACAAAGACGCCGCGGCGAGTTCGGCCGTAGATATCTTACCTTCGGAGCGGTGCTCCAGGTCCTTCTTCAGTACTGGACAATGGCCCGTTCGCGGGGGGCAGTTCCAGGAGCAAGATTGTCGCTAGCCACATAACCTTCAGAGGAATATGAGTGTGGGTATGACCCGTCTATTACATACCAACTGTCTACTATGTTGCGTAAATCCATAAATCACCCTCACAGCAACCTAATTTTCCAAACAATTAGTTCTCTAAGCAAATTATATATATATATCCTTGTCGAAAATGCGTCTATGAAGTGTTTTCGCCAACGGCATCTCAACAGCAACGCTCAAGACATAATCAAAGTCACAAAATCAACTACTAAATGATATCTACGATTATCTAGATTAAGAATTCGTAGTTGTATCGACGTTAACTTAGTCAAAACATCCACAATGCAAAATTATTGAGCATTGATTCATAGATCGAACCCTGGGGAAAATAGTCCTTCTGCTCAATACTTGACTGTAACGAGACCGTATTAATTGATTTTGAGTTAACACACAGAGGGCGCGCTTGAGCCTAACGGTCGCAGTTTTGAATTTGCTTGTAAGCGTAGTTCGAGGAAGACTTGCTGTAAACGTCGACCTGTTTACCATCCAATTGGGTCAAAAAATGGCATGTTTATCATACCTTTGTCAGAGGGAACGCGAAAAACTTTAAACGGATAAGCCCAAGACATCTGCCACAATGTCAACTGCACCATGCACACTTAGTCGTATCAGTTCCATTTAGATGTAGCTGGTGTGAAAGAACATACATAGTTTATTATCTTTAAGACAATACACGAGATTTTGCAGCCAAAGATATGCTTGATATTTATTGCGATACACACAAGAAAACCATGACTATCCGGTCACCCCAAGCAGGTGTTTCAAATAGAAAAGAATTCCCTGCATTACTGCCGTCGACAGAAGGAGTTAAGCTGATAGAAGCGAACAGGCGAGTTCCAGGTAGCAGTTCAGAAGACGAAGATGCGATCACTGGAACAAGAAATTTATTGGCCTGACGTTTCGGATTCTTACTCGAATCCATCATCAGAGGCATTCGCAGACAAAAGTGACGGTGGCACGAGGCGTGCAGTATTTATAGCACGTGGCTACCGTGGGACCGTATGTACACTGTAATAAACAGCTCTCGCAATCACCGTTGGGGTCGTAATTGATGCGGTGGTGGCTTGTCAGTCCAAGTCCAAGTCGTTAATTTCCGTGATTTCGTCATCGGTGCTGGATGCTGGTATAACGATTGCTCGGCAAATTGGCTGGGATAATTGATCGCCCGCGCCCTCCCCACGTGACTGATTCCACTGCCCAGAGAAAATCTCAGCACGGAAAATGGTATCGGGAGGTCATTGTGCTTGTTGATGGATTGCGGGCCTGACAGATTGAGCTGGAGAGACGCGCAGTACTTCAACACTGCCGACGAATGATCCAAGTGCTTCTTCAAGACTGTCACTCACGGATTCGCAATTAGCGTCAGAATTTTGACCAAGAGAAAGCAGGAGCTGTGAGTTCATGAGCGAGAACGGCAAAAAACTGCTTCAGCAGAAGCTGGCCGAACGAACCCGCGAACATCAAGCAACACGCGAACCAGCCCTAGGGAGCAAATTTCGTAAGCTGCCTGCTCCAATGTCATCCAAGAATGACAAACTTGTGCAAAAATTGTCGTCAAAGCAGATGACGGAGGAACAAATGCAGGTTTTACGGTATGAGGCCTCATTCAACACAGCGGATGCCAAACCTGCCAACATGATAGCAGCAGTTGAATCCATCCTCAGCCAGATGGGAGCGACAGACGAAACAACGAACCTCATTCGACACCAAGTGTCCTCCCTCTTCATGGCTCATAGGCCGCGCGACGTGCTTTCCAATATCGAGCGCGATGCATTTAAAGAACTCAGGGCCGACAACGACCTTGTTATCGTGCCTGCGGACAAGGGGCGTTTGACGGTCGTATTGGACAGGACAGACTACAATCAACAAGGCAAAAGCTTGTTGGATGATCGTCAGTCCTATGTCCCATGCAAATCCAACCCCATAGAAACTCTGACGCACGAGACTAACGCGACGCTGTTGGCAATGGAGAACTCAGGTGCAATATTGCCAATCGACCGACGCACGGCGAGAGCCCATGAAACGACCCTAGCCCGATTTTACGGTCTCCCAAAAGTACACAAAGAGGGCACCTCTCTCTGGCCTATCGCATCACTAAAGGGCACTCCAATCTACGGACTGGCAAAGTGGCTGTTCCAACGTCTCCAGTTTCTGACCTTCGATTCGAACATCAGAGTCAGCTCGTCAACGCAATTCTTGGAGAAACTTAAAGGAGTAAGTCCCCTGCCAAGCGATTTCATGCTTTCCTTTGATGTCACATCCCTTTCTACTTCTATCCCGCATGCCCTGGCAGTTGAGGCCATCGAACTACTCCTACGAGAGAAATACGACGAAATGGAGAATCGCCTCGGACACACCCAAATCATCCAGCTCCTGAAGCTCTGTCTCAGGACGTACTTTACGTTCGACGGAACAATCTACCGTAGGATCCCTGTTGGTAGCCCTCCCGGTACTTAAATCGCCCGGCTCTCTATCTAACTGGACCGGTGGTAATGGGGGAAATACGGGTGGGGCACTTGTGTGCAGGCGTCAATGACGTTTATAGTGTATGCCACGAATTGATGCCCCTGCTAAAGTCGTAGCCAAAATTAAATATGGCGAAAAATGAAAAAAAGATATAAAAGCGAACGTGGATACTGAGTACGGTCTGCGGAATGAATGCATCCTAGCTCCAGATTGGGCTGGGCGTTCCTGAGTTTCCGAAAATAATAATTAATTGTCGCTAACGGCACATGTATGTTAGAAACTGAAGCAGTAGTTGTGTGCTAGACGCGAATGTTGTAGTAAGCAATGTGTAGAGCAATTAGCCGGGAGGGCTACAAACAGGGATCCTACCCAATCTACGAGCAGGTGAAGGGAACGCCAATGGGTTCGCCGATTTCGGGACTCATAGCCGAGGCGGTCTTACAACGGCTGGAGTCGCTGGTTTGCCGACACCACACCAAAATGCTGGGCTCGGTGTGTGAATGACATCTTCATCGTCATCGAACGGGATCAGGTGGTGACATTCAAAGAACATCTCAACGCTGTCTTCCCCGACATTCATGTTACGATGAAGGAGGAGGAGAATAACCAGCTGGCCTTCCTGGATGTCCTCGTCTGTCGCAAAGATTGTGGTGGCCAAAAAACCAAAGTGTTCAGGAAACCGACAAATACGACTCAAAAACAGAACTTCAACAGCAACCACCCGATGCGTAAGGGGGCTATACCGGCACGTTGAGACGCACTGCAGTGAAACGGTAGACAAGGTTACTGAATTACAATATCTTCGACGGGTAATGAGAGCCAATGGTTACCCGCGCAACTTTGTCAACCAGTGCATAAGAAAACGACACCAGGGACCAAATCCAACCGGCTCCCTATGTTGGCAGGCACTTCCGTACGTGAAGAAAGCCTCGGAAGCCGTCAGTCGTCTTCTCACTCCATTTGGAGTTGGGGCTGCACACAGGCTGGAAGCAACCATTAGGCGCCAAGTCATGAGGCCAAAAGGCCCGCTGCCACGACAGGAAACGTCAGGAGTCGTTTACCCGATCTGGTGTAGTTGCGGACAAAGCAATTATGTCAGAGAAACTGAGATATTACTCTGTACGCGAATTGCTGAGCACGCAGCAGCAATGAGGCGGGGAGACGCTAACTCTCGGTGGCGTCACACTCGACGGGACCCGGCCATATTTTAAAATTTCAAGAGGCCGAAATCCTCGCAAGGGGTGACAGCCGGGTGAGCTACGAGCTGCTCGAGTCATGGTTCTCAGGCCGCAATCCATCAACAAGCACAATGACCTCCCGATACCATATTCCGTGCTGAGATTTTCCCTGGGTAGGGGTATCAGTCACGTGGGGAGGGCGCGGGCGATCAATTATCCCAGCCAATTTGCCGAGCAATCGTTACACCAGCATCCAGCACGGATGACGAAATCACGGCAATTAACGACTCGGACTCGGACTCGGACTGACAAGCCACCACCGCATCAATTACGACCCCAGCGGTGATTGCAAGAGCTGTTTATTACAATGTACATACGGTCCCACGACAGCCACGGGCTATAAATACTGCACGCCTCGTGCCACCATCACCTGTACCTGCGAATGCCTCTGATGATGGATTCGAGTAAGGATCCGAGACGTCAGGCCAATAAATTTCTTGTTCTAGTGATCGCATCTTCTTCTTCTGAGAAGCAGTTATCCTTTATCAACTTAGTGCGCATTTTGGATGCTTACCCTTCTACTCTTCAATAACGATTAAATTGGATGTTTGTAATATGAATAGGGGACATCTTGCAAATTATATGGTTCTCCAAGCACCGAGTAATACAATAAATACAACATTCCGAGCATAAGCATTAATGAACACACCAAGAGGAGATCACCATTTGTAGCACTGATAAAATAGTATCAATAGAACTATGGACTTTTATTAGAGGAAGATTGTTGTTTAATTTCAAAAATCTCCCTATGCATATTTAAGACCAGTGCAATCTGGGACCATCGTGTTACAAGACAAACAACTCTAGTAGTTTTCTTGCCCACACATTGCATTTTGGCGCCACTGATCCTTGGAACAATTAGGGCTATCTAAACTTCTTTGCGTTCGTTTTTTGCATTCCGCTTCAAATATGGTCCTTTGCACCTACAGGCAGTGTAAATCAACGCATTTCGGGTAATTTTTGAATGGAGGCTGTGGTTTGTTATTGTGTTTTTAGATTTGTTTGCGCTTATTTCCCGAAGAAACCTATAAATAGCAATCTAATCGAGAAACATTAAGATAGGTGTACTTATGCTTTTTCGGAGCACTTACGTATGGGCTTATAAGCCCCACAGTTTGCTAACTCGCTTCGAAATATCACAAGCCATTATGCTCATCTAACTTTTAATGTCTTTCGTCGGCTGTACTACTGTAACATTCTGCTAAAATCTAATGACTATATTTGGTTTACTGGTCTTCATCCTAACATTCAATACATGTTAGGGCGTTAATGGCTGCTTTCGTGAGAAATGTTTCTCAAAGGAAGCCGCCTCAAGAAGTACGTGACATGTCCTGTTTAAAAATGGTTTACATCAGGAGATGTACAGTGAAGTATTTCAAAAGATACATGCGCTTAGGTTTGTTTTTTGGCAAGGCGACGAAAATTCTATAATAGCTATATTATTAGGAGCGTAAGAGTCGATGAGCAAATAATCGCCCACATTTACGACTCGTGATTTTATTAAACTGTAAACTTAAAATTATTTTGAATCTGACTGGATATTAATGCTTTCAAATTTTTCTACGATATCACGATGATTTAATGACGGAGCCGAACTATGTGAGTCTACTCACATTTATCAGATAACCTGAGCTTGTCGGTTTCCAAAAGTTGAAGCAACTTTATTGAAATTAAACCATAGCAACCAGAAATTGCGAACCACTACCCTTATTGCCAAAATGATATAATGTTAGGTTCTGATCGATTGTTGTTAAGCCCTGGCGCGGACGTTTATAATCTGAAAATTGATAAACGAAATAGGTAAGTGAGTGTGTTACAAGTTACCCAAATGAAACTATTTTAAGATATGTTGCACATGCTGCCTCATGTAAGAAGACACCAAGATGCAATTGCGCCGCAAAACAGCAAACCATAATCAGTTACAGTTTCCAAATGGGTGATAAATAAAACAACTTTACATATATGCTCACTTATTTTTACTCCTGTCGATAAGCTGCTTTTTACCATTATTCACATTGAACTTATTCCTTTTGCTAACGCTCAAACTAGTCACCCCCTTCATCATTAGCGAAACTGTGATTCCCAAGTGGCATGTCAGAGAAGAATGGACCTTTGCCGAGAAAAATCAGTGTGGGGTCTTGCGTTCTTCGTAATGATTTTATCTACCCTTATTCACAAGTTAGAGTTTGACATTCAGAGTTGCTTACATGGTACGTTTTTCTTGATGCACAGGTCGTCAGTGGCAACCGTGATATGGAAGCGGACCCCTGTTTCACCTTGACGTTTGCCTATTTTATTATTCTCTACTCATATAATTGTTTGGCGCGATCTGGACAATATGTTCTGAGAAACGACTGCAATTTTCTTTTCCAAACTGAGACGTTGGGTATAATTCTCCTACTTAGAGTTGACTAGACCTGCCGTTATCAGATACTGCATAAAGTAAGGACAATAACGCGCAACGGGGCTCCCTAAGGGTGCATTTATGCTTTAAATGTTTAAAGTCACATTTTCTCCTGCTGCCCTTCATACAACTCAGAGTTTATCAGATGATAACCGACATTTGAGTTTCAGGATGTTTAAAAGACAAGTAGGAGCCAAGTTTTCTTTTTATAAAAGCCCTTTAATTCAGGAACGGGCCTTGTGCAGTGTCTACGTAGTCTGTGAAGAAATAAGTATGTCGGCTTTAGCAACCGTTTTCATATTTCTTGCAGTAGAAGCAGAATATACCTCGCTTGCCCACTCATCATCGTCTCTGAGCAGGGAAAAGGAAAGTCCGACATCCGATAAGGAAAGAGAACCGGTGGAAAGGAAAATCTTTGAAGAAAGCATATAAAAGAGAGAGATTTCTTTAACTATTATGCATGTAATTCGTATGGCTAAAAGGGTACTTGCAGTTGTTGCTACCTCGAAGATATCCTAATTAAAGAACGGTCTTTTAAATTATTTCGCTTTCCCTAAAAAGCTTGGTTTTAAAAGGTCTGGTAATTATGCAATTAGCATTTCCGGATCAACACGCGTTGATTTCGCTCTTTAATTTGTTTTTCTTTTGAATATAGGCTACAAAACCTAAAGTAGATGATCAGTTCATTTATAAAAAGTGACAACATACGAAATTCTAAGACGGAATTGGAACTTTTGGCATGCGATTTACTCGATTAAAAATAGCCGCAAACTGAGTAAAAGCATAGCTTTTGTTCAAAGGCCTAAACTCACGCTTTCATTTGCATTTCGGACAGTAACCGTGTAATAACATTAGGATATCGAAAATAATATGGTGTCTTGGCTGGGAAATATGAATGAAGACGTATTTGCTGACTTTGTGGACATATAATTAGTCCACTATTCAGGCTGAAAATTGCTCTTGCTTGACAGATCCATTTAGAATGGGCGGAACCGGAGATTGCCTTTTATAATTATAAATTCACGTTATGCCGAATTTGTTTTGAAGAAATGTTTTCTGAAATTACAATGTCGAAGCAGAATTTGACCCAGATAGTGGTCACCCACATGCGCATTCCTTATGCAAAAAGAGCACTCTCCTATGCCATTTGCATTGGGCACGAATTGTGTGCTTCATCGTGTAAATCCTAGTGAAGGAAAAAGGCGAGAGAAAATAGTTGCGAGGCAATCATTGTGTTATTTCACGCACGCTAATCGTAAAATTCACATTACATGTTTTTAATAGCCAACTTCAAATACATATATATGTTGCAAAAGGCAGACTATTGTCAGAGAAATATAATTTCTTTA